AGGCTGCTCAGATCATTCGACGAATGCCCTATTTCGACCCTCAGTTTTCTTCTACGCCTCCAAGCCCTCCTTCCTCTTCCTTTCCTTCTGATCGTCCACGTGGCCCGACCCGCCGCTCCCCATCTCCACGTCGACGTTCGCTTTCCCCTATGCGTCACCGTTCTGGACCCACCGACCAGGAAAACTAACGGCCGCAGTTTCCGAGGCACGAACTGCGTCCCCGTCGCCATGCACAAGTCCTCGCCCCTGTCCAGCGAACGTCATTGAAGTGTCAGTCGATGGTATCGTCGTCATGGCGCTTGTCGACACCGGAGCCGCTCTATCCGTCCTTTCAATCAACCTGTGCCGCAAACTTCGCAATGTTCTGACGCCATTATCCGGCCTTTCTCTTAGAACGGTTAACGCACAAAGTGTAACACCCCTCGCAGCTTGTACCACACGAGTCGTCATCGAAGGGATTGTGTATAGCGTCGAATTCATAGTGCTGCCCTCGTGTTTCCGTGACATGATACTCGGCTGGGACTTCCTTGCGAATAATAATGCCGTCATTGACTGCTGTCGCGCTGAACTTGAACTATCTGCACTTCCTGATGTTGACGCTGTCGAAGCCTCCCTGCCGTGTTATAAACTGTTTGTTTCCGACGACACTACCGTACCACCGCGCTTTTCTCTGCTGGTGACTGTGTCATGTGACGCTATTTTCGACGGTGATGTTTTATTTACGCCCTCTGCCCTGTTCATTCAACGCAAATGTTCTCCACTGCCCGTTGCTCTCTTTACTCTTCACCATGGCGTCACGAAGACGCTCGTGTACAATACGCTAGAAGGGTCTTTACCTTTATTCTACGGTGAATGTCTCGGTCACGTGCATCCGATCGACGCCCGTCACATCTTTGACGCTCCATATAGTTTACTTTCTACGGACCTCAGCGCACTCATTTCTGACTCTGTTGTTGACCAGTCACTTCTTGACGCTTTTCACCACTCCATCGATGTCGCAACGTCTTCTTCAGAACGAAGCCAGTTAGTGAACTTGCTGCAAAAGTTTCGTACTTTTTTTGACAGCCACGCTTCTGGCCTCAGTCGCATATCGAACATATCTCACAAGATTGACACAGGAAGCCATACGCCTCTACGGCAGCGCCCCTACCGAGTCTCAGCGTCGAAGCGCCGTGTTATTGACGACCAGATTGCTGACATGCTCCAGCGGGGTATTGTACAGCCTTCTAACAGTTCCTGGGCGTCACCGGTCGTTCTTGTTAAGAAGAAGGATGGCTCCATTCGGTTCTGTGTGGACTATCGACGTTTAAACAAGATCAATCGTAAGGACGTTTACACGTTACCGTGAATAGACGATGCCCTTGACTGTTTGCAGGAAGCAGAATACTTCTCTTGGCTGGATTTACGGTCTGGATACTGGCAAGTTCCTATGGAAGCATCTGACCGACCTAAAACAGCGTTTGTCACACCTGATGGATTATACGAATTTACCGTTATGCCTTTCGGCCTTTGTAACGCTCCAGCCACTTTTGAAAGAATGATGGACACTATTTTACGAGGCCTCAGGTGGAACACATGTTTATGCTACCTCGATTACGTAGTTGTCTTTTCCACATATTTCGACACCCATTTAAATCGTCTCGAGCACGTCCTCACACGTCTCACCGACGCCGGCCTTCAACTGAACCTCAAGAAGTGTCGTTTTGGTGCCCGGCAGCTCACCATTCTTGGCGACGTCGTATCGCGAGACGGCATACTTGCCGACCCCGCCAAGCTTCGAGCAGTCGCCGATTTTCCGAAGCCAAAGAACTTGAAGGAACTTAGAGGTTTTGTCAGCTTGTCGTCATACTTCCGACGCTTTATTAGAAATTTTGCTTCTATATGTGCGCCCCTTACGGACCTTCTTAGGGGCGACATGAACCTTTCCACCTGGTCACCTGCATGCGACGATGCATTCACCAAATTACGCCACCTGCTGACTTCACCACCCATCCTCTGCCACTACGATCCTGCCGCTCTCACGGAGGTTCATACTGATGCCAGCGGTGTTGAACTTGGCACTGTGCTCGCGCAAGGAATGGCAGGGTTTGATGAATTTGTCGTCGCCTATGCAAGCCGAACTTTGACGAAAGCAGAGGCTAACTAATCCGTGACCGAGAAAGAGTGTTTAGCTATTATTTGGGCCCTTGGAAAATTTCGCCCCTACCTGTATGGTCACGCATTCGACGTCGTCACTGACCACCACACCCTTTGTTGGCTATCCACACTTAAAGACCCTTCCAGACGACTTGCTCGCTGGGCGCTCAAACTTCAGGAATACGACATCCGCGTTATTTACAGATCTGGTCAGAAGCACACGGACGCCGACGCCCTTTCTCGCTCGCCCATATCGGATGAAGGTGTCTGCCTCTCTTCCCTCGAGCCTGCACTTGCGTCATCCACCTTGCGCAACATGACGGTGGAACAACGAGAGGATCCCTGCATCAGTGGCCTCATAAGCATTCTTTCTGATCCTCTCACTCCTTCACCGTCTCGCGCTCTCCGCCGCCAGGCTAGCAACTTTTGCCTAAGGGATGATCTTCTTTATCAACGCAACTACCTTTCTGACGGTGGCAAGTGTCTTCTTGTTACACCCCGCCATCTTAGAGCTGCTATCTGCGAACCTTTTCACGCGGACTCACAGTGCGCCCACGCAGGCCTCTTCAAGACATGCGCTAGGCTTCGACTCAGATTTTAATGGCGTGGCATGCATAACTACGCGCGAAAATTCATTCGCTCGTGTGCTCAGTGCCAACGACAATAGTTACCTCCCGGGCAAGTCTACCCGTCACAACCTCTTCCTTGTCCTAGTCGACCTTTTTATCGCGTCGGCATTGACATTTATGGACCACTACCATCAATTCTAGCTGTTAATCGCTGGATTATTGTTGCGATAGACCATCTGACACGCTATGCCGAAACAGCCGTGCTGCCGACTGCCACAGCCCGTGACGTTGGAACGTTGCTGTTGCAACGTTTCATTCTGCGTCATGGTGCCCCTCGCGAGCTCTTAAGTGACAGAGGCCATGCCTTCCTTTCTGACGCCTGAAGGCATTACTCAACGAATGCCGAATCGTGCACCGCACAAGTACAGCGTACCGCCCTCAAACGAATGGCATGACGGAGCGCTTCAACCGTACTCTTGGCAATAAGCTGTCGATGTACGTCGCCTCTGATCATTCAAATCGGGACCAAGTTTTTCTGTTCGTCACCTACGCGTATAATACTGCCGTACAAGCTTACTGGGTTTTCGCCATACTTTCATCTGTACGGACGAGAACCTTCAAATACAGTAGACACTATTCTTCCATATAAACCTTATGAGTCCGAAAGTACAACTCTGTCCGAAGCTGCCCGGCATGCTGAAGAATGGCGCCAGCTTGCCCGCTCTTTTTCTACCGAGGACCAGTGGCAGCAGCAATCCCGCCAGACTGGGGACCGTTCGGCTCCAAACTTTCCACCTGGTTCATTGGTATGGCTTCGGGCACCTGCTACCACACCTGGCCGCTCCGCAAAACTTCTTCCCAAATACATCGGGCCATACCTCGTTGTACAGCAAACGTCACTCGTCAACTATATTGTGGAGCCCATCATCCCATCCAAAGACCTACGCTACCGCGGCCACGACACTGTCCGCGTCTCTCGTCTCAAGCCATATTATGACCCATTAGTCGTTTCTTCTCTATAATCCACCAGTATGGCGTCTTTTTGTGCGGAGGGTGATTGTAGTGAAGGAGAGGAGCTTCAGCGGCATCTCTAGGCGCCTCAGGGGCATCGCCATCAGCATAAGCTCGTGCTTGCTGCGCTTGGCCGGACGCTGCTGACTGCTTCGCTTTCTGCGTTCTGCTCTGCAAATAAACCCCGTTACAGTCACCTTTAGCCACAGGGCAACCTGTGGCTTTACCTCCTTTGTACTCTTTAGGATCACTTTCCTGGGGACGCTGGCATAGGCGGCGCGTCCCTCGATCCCCAAAGAAGGTGACACCTGGACCACATGAAGACACTTGCTCTGTCGTATCTGGCGCACTCGTTGTTGCTTCATTGGTGACCGGTGCCTGACGCTTCCTTGCTGACCGCTATCCATTCCTTCTTGTTCCTCATTGTTAGGAGGCTTGTCTTTCAGGTCTTCTAAGTGCTGTCCTTCTGCAGCATTGCATTCATTTATGCTTTCACTGGCGTCGTTAGCAATGTTATTTTGCGTGCTGAGGGTATCTGCCAAGGGTATCAATGGACAAGTGTGCAGCTTCCTTTAAGGCACCTTCTGCTCCTCCCGCTGCTTCCCCTGTCGCATCAACTACCTCAGTGACATCCATAAGATGATAAAGATGCTGCTCTTCTGTGCCTTGGCCAGAACTGAGTTTGTTGGCATAAGTCGACACACAGGCATCCGACGAGTGACCAAATCGCTGGCACTGCAAGCACCTCGGTGTTTTGCACTTCGACGTACATGCCCCACTCGCTTGCAGCGAAGACACAGTGGAGGCCTGCCGGGAATAAGTACGATGCATTGGTGGCCATAGACTGACATAAGTGGTGGTATTGAGCTCACAGTGATGGTGTCCTTTAGCTCCAAGGCAACGTCCTATTTGTTGTCATTCATTGTTCCATTCCAGCACACCTCCATGCCTCTCTCTCAACGGACTTCACAACGCCGTAAGCTTGGACCGCCTCATCAACACGTCGCGATTCAAGATGAGGCGGAAGCCAAAGAAGTTTCAGCCTGTTATTTTTGGTCTCCGGATCTAGCACAATGCACTTCAGCCTTTTTACACGGAGCTCACCACAAGTGACCAGTTTCTGTTTCGCCATGCTGCTAGCACACGTAACCATCCATAGATGGCTCATTTGATGCTGGCCAACTCCTATGATGTCCGCTGTGCTCACCACTTTAAGCAGCGCGTCTCGGAAATCTGGAGCACGGTACGGCCTATAATTCAAGTCGGCATGAAGGAAAACGGAATTCAAAACGTCGTTACTGGTTGGAAGACGTGGCAGGTCGACTTTATAGCTTCAGTCTTCATCATGAAACAGAGTCGATGATCCTCGGCCATTGGCCGATACGCTGTTACCAGCAGAGATCCTTTTAGAAAACAGCCAATCAGTGCGGCTTCTTCTTCGAATACTGTACAATAGCCACATGAGAATGCTAAAGGTCACTCTAAAACGACTATTACGACTTGAATGAGCAGTCATTTCAGCAAAGTAGCATTGTGTCGGTTACCGTTTTGCTTGCATTGGATATGCTGTTTTGTAGCAGGTGTGCCACGTGACGGCATTATTTATCTTCGTATTCTTCTATGATAATGTAACCACGATTGAGTGTCGGGTGCGTCTGTAAGGTATTGTGTTTATCAGTTGCTGTAGCGGTGAAAGGTTAATCACGTACAAAATATATACCAAAGTTCACTGTCATATTTCTTCGATACTACGATATTTGGTATGGATTGCGCTGTGAATTTCTGACATCGACATACTGTATGAAAGGCCATTGTATAAAAGGCCAACTTGTCTACCAAAATCCTGTTCTATTTCACATAGACTGAATAAAAATGAGCTAGCCTATTCACGTTTCAAGTTGATGTGGGCTTGAATTTCACCCGCAGAAACAAACAATGCGTATATGAATGCAGTACCTATATTTGATTAGCCAAAAGTGAGCTCATATGCAATAAACCTATATGCAACTGGTCCTACACATTATATACGACCATTTTTGTGGGGATCACGTGAATGAACGCGCGAAGATGCGCATGCATAAGTGAGGCGTCTACTTACCTGTAATCAGGCTAAGAATCAAGCCTATAAAAATCATCGCTGTCGTGATTATGAAATTGTTCCAATAAGAAGAAATCATTACGAATGACGCCTGGCTCCGCCTGTGAAAAAGGAAAAAGAAAGATTTTTATGTTAAGACTTCATATAAAGAGCGCTTGTTATAGTGGCTGTCGACTGTTACGCACTTTCTATACTGTGCCTGTGAAGAAGGAAAAAGAAAGATTTTTAATGTTAAGATTTCATATAAAGAGCGCTTGTTATAGTGGCTGTCGACTGTTACGCACTTTCTATACTGTTCCCTGTATGAGCGAAGAAGGGCTCATAAAAAAGCCGTAGTATCACCACAAAGCCGGGGAAATGAATGCGAAAGCAGGAAAGCGCAATGTCAGGTGCCGAACAGCAACCAGATTGCCAAATTGCACTGTGCAACGGGCTGCTCAAGACAAAAGAAGGCACAAAAAAATTCCCCCACCTCCCGAAAGGGATCGTGGAGAAATGCGAATACATCGCATGGCGTTCATAACGGCATTTCGAACGTGAGAACCAAGCCCCGCCACGGTGGTCTAGTGGCTAAGGTACTCGGCTGCTGACCCGCAGGTCACGGGATCGAATGCCATGCCGGCTGTGGCGGCTGCACTTTCGATGAAGGCGGAAAGGTTGTAGTCCCTAGTACCCAGATTTGGGTGCACGTTAAAGAAACCCAGGTGGTTGAAATTTCCGGAGCCCTCCACTACGGCGTCTCTCATAATCAGAAGGTGGCTTTGGGATGTTAAACCCCCCAGAAGAATCAATCAATAGAACGTGAGAACCAAATGTTTGAACAATAATGCTTTCTTTTTTTTAATGCGAAGCACTTCTTAGCGAACTTCAGCGACTTTGAGCATATCTGTCTGTCTGTCTATAATATATACATATATATATATATATATATATATATATATATATATAAGGGAAAGAAGTGTATACCTAAGGGCTCGTTTTTCCGTGTTTTTAACACAATAATAATAAGATATAACACACAGTAATGCCAAGGAATGTACAGGGGAAGTTATTAACATTATTGGAATGTAAATAAGAAGAAAGAAAAGTGGATGAAAAAATTACCAACTGTAAGCAGGAATCGAACCTACGACCTTCGAATTACGCGTTCGATGCTCTAACCACTGAGCTATTACAGCGGCACTCCCTCCATCCACTTTTTTTGGGTTTATCTGTGAATTTAGAAGTAGGAGCGACAGTCAGCGCCAGCTATAAGCCAAACAACGAGTGTGAAAACACTCTTATGCGCATGTTTGGCGTCACGTAGCACGTGAACTTATTATGAGCGGGCAGCTGATTAATTGTCCCTCTTATACAACCTAAACACACCAAGTCTGCCAGTACGAGACCCTCGTTCAATGAAATAAGGGAAAGAAGTGTATACCTAAGGGCTCGTTTTTCCGTGTTTTTAACACAATAATAATAAGATATAACAGACAGTAATGCCAAGGAATGTACAGGGGAAGTTATTAACATTAATGGAATGTAAGTAAGAAGAAAGAAAAGTGGATGAAAAAATTACCAACTGTAAGCAGGAATCGAACCTACGACCTTCGAATTACGCGTTCGATGCTCTAACCACTGAGCTATTACAGCGGCACTCCCTCCGTCCACTTTTTTTTGGGTTTATCTGTGAATTTAGAAGTAGGAGCGACAGTCAGCGCCATCTATAAGCCAAACAACGAGTGTGAAAACACTCTTATGCGCATGTTTGGCGTCACGTAGCACGTGAACTTATTATGAGCGGGCAGCTGATTAATTGTCCCTCTTATACAACCTAAACACACCAAGTCTGCCAGTACGAGACCCTCGTTCAATGAAATAAGGGAAAGAAGTGTATACCTAAGGGCTCGTTTTTCCGTGTTTTTAACACAATAATAATAAGATATAACAGACAGTAATGCCAAGGAATGTACAGGGGAAGTTATTAACATTAATGGAATGTAAATAAGAAGAAAGAAAAGTGGATGAAAAAATTACCAACTGTAAGCAGGAATCGAACCTACGACCTTCGAATTACGCGTTCGATGCTCTAACCACTGAGCTATCCTGGAGAATTTCCTTTCTTTATTAATGAGCCACCCTGGAGAACGTTCTTCACCGCTCAAACGGCAAGCTATTTATATCTGCCACTTACCGCTCCTGTGTTTTAGGCATTACCAGTAAGATGACGCCATGAGCGCACGTTGCCACATCGCGCAGCGGCGCCCGCTGTAATCTCCTACGCGTACTTTGCCCGCCTTAGAGAAGGAGAGCGACGCGCTCTCGCGCACCCTTATCTCATGGTGACAAGGAGGGGATGATTGTACGCCTTGGCTTGCCTCGTGCTTTGTCACTGCAATCATTGCAGTCACCGTTCGCGAAAAACGCGCGCGTTTCAGACTCGGCGAAGTAACAAATGAGACGCTTAGTCGCGTGCATCTGTACTTGTGAGTGCGTTTTGAGCGTAATTTGTGCGCGAGAATCGCGGGCATGTTTTGATCTGCTTTCTATTCTGCGCGTGACCATTCATAATGTTACGGTAACTTATTTAATAAATTAAATACGATGCACCTTGTTCGGCGAACAAGATGGCGACAGTTCATCAACAACCAGCTACTAACGTCGTCTTTCTCTTTCTTGCAGGCAGGCTGTGCCGGCTGTTGTGTATCATAACCCCCGGCGGTAGAAGCACCGTCTCGGTGCATGAGCAACTCGGATGCCGTAGAAGGAGGGTGATCAGGTTTGAGTCGACCTATGTGCACCATGCCACTCGAAGGTGACGATGATGACGTTGAATCGGCTGGAACGATCTCTTATGTAACGTCAGTCACCTGGCGAACGACGCGACATGGTCCAGTATAGCGTGACAGCAGTTTTTCAGAAAGCCCTACACGCCGGGTGGGGACCAGAGGAGGACAAAGGAACCCAGTGAAAAGTGCACGTTTCGATGATGGGAAACGTAGAGCTGTCTTTGTTGCTCCTGTGAGGCCTGCAGGCGGCTGCGGGCGAGTTGGCGTGCGTGGTCGGCTCGCGCGATGGCTTCGCCGGCATACTCAGTGACCGAGGGCAGCAGGGTGTCAAATGGTAGGGCGGGTTCTCGGCCGTATAGAAGATAGAATGGTGAATAGCCGGCAGTGTCGTGACGTGACGAATTATATGCGAATGTCACAAATGACAAATGAACGTCCCAGTCCTGGTGGTCGGCCGCTACGTATTTAGAAACGATGTCGGTTATGGTGCGGTTGAGGCGCTCCGTAAGACCGTTCGTTTGCTGATGGTACGAAGTGGCAAACTTGTGCTTGGCAGAGCAAGAGCGCAGGATTTCATCAACGACAGCTGATAGGAAGGTCCGGCCTCGGTCAGTGAGAAGTTGGCGTGGAGCTCCGTGTGCTAAATAATATCATATACCAGAAAGTCCGCCACATCGGTTGCGCAACTCGTCGGAAGTGCTCGTGTGATAGCGTACCGTGTCGCATAGTCAGTGGCGACAGCGATCCATTTGTTGCCTGAGCTGGAGATATAGAATAGGCCAAGCAGGTCGAGGCCAACTCAAAAAAAAGGTTCAATGGTAATGTCGATCGGCTGAAGGAATCCAGCTGGTACGGAAGATGGCTTTTTCGGTGCAGGCAGGGCTCACAAGCGGCGACGTAGCGTCGAACAGAGCGTCGAACAAATTGTTGTTATCGCGTTCATTCCTTGACCTTTGCGGCAAAGATGTCACTTTTTATGTATATTGATTTCAAGCACTGGTTAGCTCGTCAAATATCATTTTATATCATCACTGTCTAGCCTGTCTTTTAGTGTGTCTGTACGCCGGTCTGCTCGCCATCACCTACCTGGCAGGATATATTTTTTGTGTGTGAGCACACCAAGGTTCTTATGGAGACCTCTTTTGAATGCATGAGACTGATATCGCGCAGCCTTGCCTTTACTCTGAAAGAAATACTTACGTTTCTGTGATTGAAAGTGACAGGTTGCTCTGAGCTCGCAATTCCATGAAATCGCCAGCAGCACATTCATCCAAAGACGCCGCCATTCTCGGAGGGCTGGCACCGTACATCATGTCGATTACCGTGTATCCTCCTTGCCAGGCACATCCAATAGCAGCCGCTATAACGGCTGCCTGAAAAAAAAATAACCTACTTGGCTTGCATTGTGCATCACACAAGGCAGAGTACGAGTGGTTCGTATATTGCAGCCATTTGCTCCTTTACGTACTTATATTTCAGCATAAACCTGTTTAAATTTCAGCGTTGATACGCTGAGCGCCAATACGCTTGGTATACTTTACTTTTGTAACAATCTCAGAAAATCGAACTGTTGAGCGATATTAAAAGAAACGTTCACTTTTTTGCTCCTGCTCAACTTCTTGCCAAAAGCGGTTGCTTTAGATCTGAATTGACATTCTCTAGAAAAAACTTGCCGATCACAAATGCTCATTGACAAGAAGTTATCTGCTAAAGAAAAGAAGACGTTTACGGACATGCTTAGAAATGCACAGTTTCTCTTACAGGGGGAAGATAATAATGTGATATTCATTGTATAAGTTGTAGGTCTAAATTAGCCACCTCCTTGAGGGCTGGTTTTGACGTTATGCTACAAAAGAATTGCGTAAGGCAAAACGGATGCTGGGGCGAGCGAAACATGACGTGATGAGTGAACTCAATTGAACTTTCAGTTCTTATTTCAAAATGATGGTCTGGTTTGTTCAGCCTCATGCAGAATAGCTTGTAAAAGGTGCCATGTCATGGTTGAAATACGTTAATGGGTGTGGCAGTGGCTCTTAGGTGTGCGCTTATATGAACCTTCTCTTATGTATTATGGGCAAATATTTGTACATGCTCCAGCGTGATTACTATCACAAAAGTTTGTGGCTTACCTTGGTGTCCACCCAGGGAAAAGCTAGACCTAATATCGAAAGGCTTACGAAAGGAGCGGTAATGCAACTCTGCAGCACCATCAAAACCTGCAAAATGGTAGAGCGAATAAATTGCACATTTCTAATGCTGTACAGACACTGCCATATACCATACGGCACATTGTGTTTCCGTGTTTTTAACACAATAATAATAAGATATAACAGACAGTAATGCCAAGGAATGTACAGGGGAAGTTATTAACATTAATGGAATGTAAATAAGAAGAAAGAAAAGTGGATGAAAAAATTACCAACTGTAAGCAGGAATCGAACCTACGACCTTCGAATTACGCGTTCGATGCTCTAACCACTGAGCTATTACAGCGGCACTCCCTCCATCCACTTTTTTTTGGGTTTATCTGTGAATTTAGAAGTAGGAGCGACAGTCAGCGCCATCTATAAGCCAAACAACGAGTGTGAAAACACTCTTATGCGCATGTTTGGCGTCACGTAGCACGTGAACTTATTATGAGCGGGCAGCTGATTAATTGTCCCTCTTATACAACCTAAACACACCAAGTCTGCCAGTACGAGACCCTCGTTCAATGAAATAAGGGAAAGAAGTGTATACCTAAGGGCTCGTTTTTCCGTGTTTTAACACAATAATAATAAAATATAACAGACAGTAATGCCAAGGAATGTACAGGGGAAGTTATTAACATTAATGGAATGTAAATAAGAAGAAAGAAAAGTGGATGAAAAAATTACCAACTGTAAGCAGGAATCGAACCTACGACCTTCGAATTACGAGTTCGATGCTCTAACCACTGAGCTATTACAGCGGCACTCCCTCCATCCACTTTTTTTGGGTTTATCTGTGAATTTAGAAGTAGGAGCGACAGTCAGCGCCATCTAAAGCCAAACAACGAGTGTGAAAACACTCTTATGCGCATGTTTGGCGTCACGTAGCACGTGAACTTATTATGAGCGGGCAGCTGATTAATTGTCCCTCTTATACAACCTAAACACACCAAGTCTGCCAGTACGAGACCCTCGTTCAATGAAATAAGGGAAAGAAGTGTATACCTAAGGGCTCGTTTTTCCGTGTTTTTAACACAATAATAATAAGATATAACAGACAGTAATGCCAAGGAATGTACAGGGGAAGTTATTAACATTAATGGAATGTAAATAAGAAGAAAGAAAAGTGGATGAAAAAATTACCAACTGTAAGCAGGAATCGAACCTACGACCTTCGAATTACGCGTTCGATGCTCTAACCACTGAGCTATTACAGCGGCACTCCCTCCATCCACTTTTTTTTGGGTTTATCTGTGAATTTAGAAGTAGGAGCGACAGTCAGCGCCATCTATAAGCCAAACAACGAGTGTGAAAACACTCTTATGCGCATGTTTGGCGTCACGTAGCACGTGAACTTATTATGAGCGGGCAGCTGATAATTGTCCCTCTTATACAACCTAAACACACCAAGTCTGCCAGTACGAGACCCTCGTTCAATGAATAAGGGAAAGAAGTGTATACCTAAGGGCTCGTTTTTCCGTGTTTTTAACACAATAATAATAAGATATAACAGACAGTAATGCCAAGGAATGTACAGGGGAAGTTAATAACGTTAATGGAATGTAAATAAGAAGAAAGAAAAGTGGATGAAAAAATTACCAACTGTAAGCAGGAATCGAACCTACGACCTTCGAATTACGCGTTGTATAAGAGGTTGTATAAGAGGGACAATTAATCAGCTGCCCGCTCATAATAAGTTCACGTGCTACGTGACGCCAAACATGCGCATAAGAGTGTTTTCACACTCGTTGTTTGGCTTATAGATGGCGCTGACTGTCGCTCCTACTTCTAAATTCACAGATAAACCAAAAAAAGTGGATGGAGGGAGTGCCGCTGTAATAGCTCAGTGGTTAGAGCATCGAACGCGTAATTCGAAGGTCGTAGGTTCGATGCCTGCTTACAGTTGGTAATTTTTTCATCCACTTTTCTTTCTTCCTATTTACATTCCATTAATGTTAATAACTTCCCCTGTACATTCCTTGGCATTACTGTCTGTTATATCTTATTATTATTGTGTTAAAAAACACGGAAAAACGAGCCCTTAGGTATACACTTCTTTCCCTTATTTCATTGAACGAGGGTCTCGTACTGGCAGACTTGGTGTGTTTAGGTTGTATAAGAGGGACAATTAATCAGCTGCCCGCTCATAATAAGTTCACGTGCTACGTGACGCCAAACATGCGCATAAGAGTGTTTTTACACTCGTTGTTTGGCTTATAGATGGTGCTGACTGTCGCTCCTACTTCTAATTTCACAGATAAACCCAAAAAAAAGTGGATGGAGGGAGTGCCGCTGTAATAGCTCAGTGGTTAGAGCATCGAACGCGTAATTCGAAGGTCGTAGGTTCGATTCCTGCTTACAGTTGGTAATTTTTTCATCCACTTTTCTTTCTTCTTATTTACATTCCATTAATGTTAATAACTTCCCCTGTACATTCCTTGGCATTACTGTCTGTTATATCTTACATATATATATATATATATATATATATATATATCACCAGAAGAAGCGAACGAGCAAACGAAAAATGATGCTTTATTGCCAACGTTACGGCCGGGGACCGGCCTCGTCAGGGCATACGTCAGGGCACACGTATGCCCTGACGAAGGCCGGTCCCCGGCCGTAACGTTGGTAATAAAGCATCGTTTTTCGTTTGCTCGTTCGCTTCTTCTAGTGACTTATAACTCGACCGGAATCCAGGAAGACTTTCAAGAATATATATATATATATATATATATATATATATATATATATATATATATATATATACATATATATATATATTAAAATATATATATATATATCCCGTTTTTGGTCTGGCCGCGCAGACGGACGCTGGTCAGTGCCGGGCGTGAGAGAGAAGATGCTCACGTTTTGCTAACGCGGCGTCGCTGTGCCCAGCGTGCGCGTGCGTCAACGCTACATTGGAGTATATATGGACCCTTCCGGATGCGCTAGCGGCCGTTTTGCTAGCTCCACATATATCAAATTTGGTGTTACTTGACGTCAATGAATGGCGAAATATATGACTGGTGCAAACAGGAAAATCTTGACACGCGTGTGATGTGAGAACGTGACAACATAACACGCTCATAGCGTACTCGCGGCCGTTTCGCCAGCTCCACATATACTAAATTTGGTGCCACGTGAGGTGAATAGATGACAAAGGTAAAAGACGCATCCAAACATGATAATCGTGACTTGGAAGTCATGTAAGGCATCATTTACCTTGACCTCGTAACGTTGTGCTGTTTTAAAGTGACATATCAACATTTCTCATTTATGCTTCGCGTATCATTCATTCCCACTGTACGTGGGATCTGCCAACTTTTTTGTGTTCTTTAAACTGTTTTCTTTCATATTATTACTCTTGTGAACTAGGAATAGGTATTACAACAAATTTAATTACTGAGTATAATTATTTAATTGTTTAAAAGAATAAAAAATTTTGCTCAGTATTCTTTTATTCTGACTGAGAAATTATTACGCGGTTCGATGCTCTAACCACTGAGCTATTACAGCGGCACTCCCTCCATCCACTTTTTTTTGGTTCTATCTGTGAATTTAGAAGTAGGAGCGACAGTCAGCGCCATCTATAAGCCAAACAACGAGTGTGAAAACACTCTTATGCGCATGTTTGGCGTCACGTAGCACGTGAACTTATTATGAGCGGGCAGCTTGATTAATTGTCCCTCTTATACAACCTAAACACCAAGTCTGCCAGTACGAGACCCTCGTTCAATGAAATAAGGGAAAGAAGTGTATACCTAAGGGCTCGTTTTTCCGTGTTTTTAACACAATAATAATAAGATATAACAGACAGTAATGCCAAGGAATGTACAGGGGAAGTTATTAACATTAATGGAATGTAAATAAGAAGAAAGAAAAGTGGATGAAAAAATTACCAACTGTAAGCAGGAATCGAACCTACGACCTTCGAATTACGCGTTCGATGCTCTAACCACTGAGCTATTACAGCGGCACTCCCTCCATCCACTTTTTTTGGGTTTATCTGTGAATTTAGAAGTAGGAGCGACAGTCAGCGCCATCTATAAGCCAAACAACGAGTGTGAAAACACTCTTATGCGCATGTTTGGCGTCACGTAGCACGTGAACTTATTATGAGCGGGCAGCTGATTAATTGTCCCTCTTATACAACCTAAACACACCAAGTCTGCCAGTACGAGACCCTCGTTCAATGAAATAAGGGAAAGAAGTGTATACCTAAGGGCTCGTTTTTCCGTGTTTTTAACACAATAATAATAAGATATAACAGACAGTAATGCCAAGGAATGTACAGGGGAAGTTATTAACATTAATGGAATGTAAATAAGAAGAAAGAAAAGTGGATGAAAAAATTACCAACTGTAAGCAGGAATCGAACCTACGACCTTCGAATTACGAGTTCGATGCTCTAACCACTGAGCTATTACAGCGGCACTCCCTCCATCCACTTTTTTTTGGGTTTATCTGTGAATTTAGAAGTAGGAGCGACAGTCAGCGCCATCTAAAAGCCAAACAACGAGTGTGAAAACACTCTTATGCGCATGTTTGGCGTCACGTAGCACGTGAACTTATTATGAGCGGGCAGCTGAATAATTGTCCCTCTTATACAACCTAAACACACCAAGTCTGCCAGTACGAGACCCTCGTTCAATGAAATAAGGGAAAGAAGTGTATACCTAAGGGCTCGTTTTTCCGTGTTTTTAACACAATAATAATAAGATATAACAGACAGTAATGCCAAGGAATGTACAGGGGAAGTTATTAACATTAATGGAATGTAAATAAGAAGAAAGAAAAGTGGATGAAAAAATTACCAACTGTAAGCAGGAATCGAACCTACGACCTTCGAATTACGCGTTCGATGCTCTAACCACTGAGCTATTACAGCGGCACTCCCTCCATCCACTTTTTTTTTGGGTTTATCTGTGAATTTAGAAGTAGGAGCGACAGTCAGCGCCATCTATAAGCCAAACAACGAGTGTGAAAACACTCTTATGCGCATGTTTGGCGTCACGTAGCAC